CACCCTCCCATCCCCATTTCCCTCTCTCTCCCTCTCACCCACATCCCATTTTTCCCATTTTTTTTTATTTTTTCCCCCCTCAGAATTCCAACCTGGTTCTTCAAGCCGACCGCTCTCTGATCGACCGCACGCGCCGGGACGAGCCCACGGGCGAGGTTCTGTCCCTGGTGGGGAAACTCGAGGGGACCCGAATGGGGGACAAAGCCCAGAGGACCAAACCCCAAATGCAGGAGGAGAGAAGAGCCAAGTGAGCAGGAAAAAACGGGAATTTTCATCCCCGGGATAGCGGGATTAGGGCGGGGGTTTGGGTTTGGGAAAGGGGATTTTTGCTGGAGTTTGGTTTTTTTGAAAGAGCTGGGTTTGGGTGCCCGGTCTCCCAGGAAAGTGGATTTTCTTGGAATCTGATTTCCCAGGAAAGTGGATTTTCTTGGAGCTGGATTTCCCAGGAAAATGAATTTTCTTGGAATCTGATTTCCCAGGAAAGTGAATTTTCTTTGAATCTGATTTCCCAGGAAAATGAATTTTCTTGGAGTTTGATTTCTCAGGAAAATGAATTTTCTTTGAATTTGATTTCCCAGGAAAGTGGATTTTCTTTGAATTTGATTTCCCAGGGAACTGGATTTTCTTGGAGTTTGATTTCCCAGGAAAGTGAATTTTCTTGGAATCTGATTTCCAGGGAAAGTGTTTTTTTCTGGGAATTTGATTTCCCTGGAAAGTGAATTTTCTTTGAATTTGACTTCCCAGGAAAGCAGCTTTCCCTGGAGTTTGATTTCCCATGAAAGTGTTTTTTCTTGGAATTTGACTTCCCAGGAAAGTGAATTTTCTTTGAATCTGATTTCCCAGGAAAGTGAATTTTCTGGGAATCTGATTTCCCAAAGAAAGTGGCTTTTCTTGGAGTTTGATTTCCCAGGAAAACAACTTTCCCTGGAGTTTGATTTCCCAGGAAAGTGAATTTTCTTGGAGTTTGATATCCCAGGAAAGCGGCATTTCCTGGTGCCAAATTTCCCAAAAAATCTGCTTTTCTTGGCTTTTAATTTCCCAAAAATCCTGCTTTTCTTGGCTCTTAATTTCCCAAAAAATCTGCTTTTCCTGGCACCAAATTCCCAATGAATCTGCTTTTCCTGGTGCCAAATTTCCCAGGAAATCTGCTTTTCCTGGCTCTTAATTTCCCAAAAAATCTGCTTTTCCTGGCTTTTAATTTCCCAAAAATTATGCTTTTCCTGGCTCTTAATTTCCAAAAAAATCTGCTTATCCTGGTGCCAAATTTCCCAAAAAAATCTGCTTTTCCTGGTGCCAAAATTCCCAAAAAATCTGCTTTTCCTGGCTCTTAATTTCCCAAAAAATTTTTCCCAGAGATCCCGGAGCAGGGAATTCCACCCTCATCCCATTCCCAAAAATCCCATTTAAATTTCCATTTCCCGCCTCGATGCCATTCCCTGAAATCCCAAAAATTCCTGAAATCCCCCAAAATCCCAAAAAATTTTGGGGGAAAAAAAGGGGTTTTTTGGGGATTTTTTGGGAACCTCTGGAGCTGTGGATTTTTTGGGAACCTCTGGGATTTTTTGGGAACCTCTGGAGGTCCCCAAGGTTCCCTCAGATTTTTTGGGAACCTCTGGAGCTCTGGGATTTTTTGGGACCCTCTGGAATTTTTTGGGACCCTCTGGGATTTTTTGGGACCCTCTGGAGCTCTGGGATTTTTTGGGGACCCTCTGGGATTTTTTGGGACCCTCTGGGATTTTTTGGGAACCTCTGGGATTTTTTGGGAACCTCTGGAATTTTTTGGGACCCTCTGGGATTTTTTTGGGAACCTCTGGAGCTCTGGGATTTTTTGGGAACCTCTGGAATTTTTTGGGAACCTCTGGAGCTGGGATTTTTTGGGACCCTCTGGAATTGGGACCCTCTGGGATTTTTTGGGACCCTCTGGAGCTCTGGGATTTTTTGGTGGGATTTTTTGCCCTCTGGAGCTCTTTTTTGGGACCCTCTGGGATTTTTTGGGACCCTCTGGAGCTCTGGGATTTTTTGGGGACCCTCTGGGATTTTTTGGGACCCTCTGGGATTTTTTGGGAACCTCTGGGATTTTTTGGGAACCTCTGGAATTTTTTGGGACCCTCTGGGATTTTTTTGGGAACCTCTGGAGCTCTGGGATTTTTTGGGACCCTCTGGGATTTTTTTGGGAACCTCTGGAGCTCCAGGATTTTTTGGGAACCTCTGGAATTTTTTGGGACCCTCTGGAGGTCCCCAAGGTTCCCTCAGATTTTTTGGGACCCTCTGGAAGTCTGGGATTTTTTGGGACCCTCTGGGATTTTTTGGGACCCTCTGGAGCTCTGGGATTTTTTGGGACCCTCTGGGATTTTTTGGGAACCTTTGGAATTTTTTGGGACCCTTTGGGATTTTTTGGGAACCTCTGGAGGTCCCCAAGGTTCCCTCAGGTTTTTTGGGACCCTCTGGGATTTTTTGGGACCCTCTGGAGCTCTGGGATTTTTTGGGAACCTCTGGAGCTCTGGGATTTTTTGGGACCCTCTGGGATTTTTTGGGAACCTCTGGAGCTCTGGGATTTTTTGGGAACCTCTGGAGCTCTGGGATTTTTTGGGAACCTCTGGAGCTCTGGGATTTTTTGGGAACCTCTGGGATTTTTTGGGAACCTCTGGAGGTCCCCAAGGTTCCCTCAGATTTTTTGGGAACC